GGAGGCTCTCTGCTGTGTGCATCAGACGAGAAGGAACAGCAAAGACAGCACTGTGATCGGCCACCTGCTGTATCTGACCCCTGAAATATGTTACAAGCCACTTTTTTTTTTCCAGAAGGTCAGGACAGGGCAAATTTACTGCATGACTGTACTGCGTTCAGGAGAGATGCTTCTCCCCAGGCCTGCAGAACTGAAGGTGACATCTCCTACCACCTCTGGATGTCCAACAAGCCAAAACTGACACTTAGCAGAGAAATTACGCAGAATCAGCCTTGGCGCTAAACACAGACCATCAGTAGGCTAAGCCTTTATGGCTTTTACTTGAAAACCAAGAACAACAGCAAAGTCACACAAACTGTGTGACTGATTATGAAAAGGGGAAGCTATCCTCTTAGATCAGATTTTAAAACTATGCTTTACGGCCACTCACCAGACGGAAAGTGTATGTGTGTGTCTGGGATTAATATACCGTGATCACTTAGGTTACAAGAACTTTATACAATTATCTAATTTAATCCTCACCAACCCTGAGGTGGGTGTTACCTCTGCATTATAGGTGAGGAACTGAGGTTCAGAGAATCGCTAAGTATCTTGTGGAAGGTCATGGAGATAGCAAGAGAAGATTCTGTGAAGTCTTCAAGGAGGCCATCTCAATTTTAGTTTAAGGAGTAAGAATACACTGAGATTAGCAAGATGTGGATGGTTAGAAGTCAGGCATGATCCTTGGCTACGGCAGTTATTTCCCAAAGCTCTGCAGCATGTTTATATGGATTTTAAAAAAAAGTTCAAAGGTTGATTAAGTCAGGAAATGCTTGGGATAAACAGAGTTCTTTTCTGCAGGATTTCTCAGAGTCTTTAATGTGATGTTATGGATTATAGATGCCCAAAAGGAGAATATGCAAGGGGTGTTTCTTTTTTGTTTTTTTAAGATTGCTTGTTTCTTAGAATATACTTTAGAAAAAGCTGGGGTAAAACTTTAAGTCCTTGAAATCAGATTCAGGAGGAAGAAAAATGAGTCTCATACTCTGGGACACACTTGATGGTCTTTCTCCAACTTCCCCTCAGGGTTTCATGTACGTAAATCTCAAATGAATGAACTTGACTTTGGTATTTGAGGGGATGGCATGACTTGGCTCACCATAAAACAAAAGCAGGACTGGAAATCAGTGGACAGAAGCAGGAAACAGTAACTGGAGACGAGCAGGGGCACACGTGGCAGTTTGTGGGCTTAAGAACCAGAGGCCTTAAATAAGACCTTCTTGCATAGTTTCAGTCAGTTCCTGAGCTCCCAAGGGCTGACCACGTAAGCTGGGATCACGGGGGACCATAGGCTACCACGTCCGGCTCTTCCCCCTCCTCTTCCGGAAGAACAAGTACCCTCACGTGCAGAGGAGCAGGAAGGGAACCAGACGCTTTGAGTCACACCGTAGGGCTAGGAGGGACCTCAGACACCGGCTGTCCCAGGGCGTTTTCTAGGGCCAACGGACAAGCCTGTGGGTCAGGCCACGGCTGAGACTTCACTGAGTTCTGATTTTCAGTCCAGACCTCTTCTCACCAGACCCTGAGTCTCCACAGCCAGATCCTCATTTCTTGGTCTACAAAATGTACTCAGTGCTGTCACTGCATAAACACTGTATCTGGGAGACGAGTTGATTTCTGTAATTGACAAGAACGGCCAGAAACGTGGCTGAACCAGGGTCTTTGCTCATTGGTGACTCCTCAGCGCCTGGAACAGAGCTTGGTAACACAGCACGTGCTCAATGTGTTTCTGCTGAATTAGTGAAAAATGTGACACCTGAGCAGCTTATATACTAGCGTCGAAAATATTTATTGGCATTTTTAAAAGCTCGTTTGACTCTGAGGCTCTCCGAGGGCGCTGCTGGGCAGGGGTGGGGGAGGGCGGGCCTGCCGGGCAGCTGCGCTCAGCTCCCCAGATAAAGAAGTGAAACAAAACTCAGCAAGAAGAAAATGGGCTGTTCGGATGGTCACTATGGCTCATTTATAATACTTTCTCTGCTTCCTTGAAGGTGAACAGATAATGGGAATTTGTACATGGTGTTTGACAAAAACGAAGGATTTCCAGCAGTTTTTAAATGGATGATTTCAGGGCTAAAGCCATCTGCTTTTCGTAAAAGAGGTAGTTAACTGCTTACATTGTCTATCACGAAACTGCTCATACCCTTTACAAAAACCACTATTGTAACTTTAAAAAACACAGCCCTAACTAGTTTTTGAATAGGCAAAATTCACCAAGAAAAACTGATTCTATATCATTCTCAACCTCAAACAAAACATTTGAATAGTTATTTTTGCACATGTGTCACCCAATAATCTTTTATGTGACATTAAAAAGATTCACTCAAATACCAACAGATTCAACTTTATAGCACCATTCCAAAATACTAAACTTTCTTTGCACCTTTATTTTAATCTTTTTTTTTTTTTGTACACATTTAAAGTATGGGCATCCTGTAAATTTCTGAAAAGCCTCCTAGGAAAAAAAAACCCAACTAGTTTTGAGGACAAAGCAATAACTCAGTTTGTAGGCAAGATGATCTCAGGCAGGCGGTAAGCTCTTCATGGGCTTCTGCAGTCTTCCTTCTGGGGTGAGAATGTAGAAAGGATGCTAAAATCTTCCTGGGTTATTCTAGAGATTACGTTGCATATCAGTATGTAAAATCTTGTTGCTCAATGGTCAGACTCTAGGTATTGATTACAACTCAAGTCATGACAACAGTAGTCTTTTGTAATGATTTTACTCTTTTGATTGACAAACTTCAAAGTCTGTATACACTTTTTGTTCGTACAATGTAAGAGAGAAATTAGAGTAATACTGAATTCCCTCTTACAAACCTCCATATTTGAAGCTTGGAGCACTAAAATCTGTTCTTAGCAAGCAGATGTCTTTAAAGTAGAATTATAAATGGATTTTAAGTTCAACATGTATTTGGCTGCACTGTTACATAAGTTAACGTGGGAGTTGATAGATGATGAGACCTCTTGCAGAAAAAAATTTTTTCCTGTGACACTAGAGTCACGTTTCACACTCGGATTATAACTGAGTGCTCCTGTCTAACCCTTCTATGTATTACTGTGAGTAACGTGCACCCAGATACCAGGTCTGGCGACAGGACTTGGAATTTTTTAGTCTGCTGAGACTGGGGGTGTGTGTGAAGAGGTAGAGTCAGAAGGGTGTCCACTAACAGCTTAACTCTGCAGCAGTTTCAAAGAAATTGATCGTTATGCAATAACAGTCAATGACCCAGGAAGAAAAAGTTTAAATTAGAAGTGACTAGTATTAAAAAAGCTACTGTGCACCAGGTAGGAAGGAATATGAGAATATTAATATGCCCTGAAATAGAAATAATCACTTTGCACTATGTACACCACATACAATATAACATATTCTTTTTAACATTGCACAATATAAATATTATACACGGTGGAGTAAACTAAATGCAAAATAACTTTGAGGCACACAGGAGAAACACGGAATAGATTGTACTCTGATCGAAATTACGACGGGGTTAGTAAAAGGCAAGGTGTTTACACTGTCAGGCCAGTGAGCCCTTGGGCTGTCACCTCGTGGGCTGGCAGCCACCTCCCATACACATCAAAAATTCTCATACCTCAATGTTGCTAGAGTTGACTTCTTCAAACAAAGACTAATGAGCTAAATACTTTGAGAAAATCAAACTGTTGCTCCCCACTCTAAAGTAGGTAACCCCTAAAGGTCCCTCCCGACCTCAGGGTTTTGTAAAGAGGGGCTATGTTAGTACACAGCTGTATCTCCCCTAATTCCTGTTACTTGATTACTATGAAACCACTTTAAGGAAACTAGAACAGTATTCAAGAACACCCATCACAGTGCTTAACAAGATTTAATGTACATTTATTCTTAACATGTGGAACATATAAAGATTTTATACTGAATAAATGATATTCATTAAGCCAGAGGAAAAGGAGGAATTTACATCAAGTTTTTTTCTTTTTTTTTTAAACTACATTATCTTGAAATACAAATGTGGATTCTTGTCACTGAAAAATCTTTGAAGTTGTGTTTCTTCCTTTTAGTTGTATTTTTTCCTTTTTGTCTGTACTGGTAACCATTTTCTAAATCAATCCATATGCAAACCATTTCCACACCTTGATTCATGAAGCAAATTGTGATCAGCTGCTCTCCCGAAATAGAGCATGACTTTATACATACAGAAACTTGTACATTACCCTCTTTTTTTTGTTTTTTTTTTTTGTTTTTGTTTTTTGTATTTTTTCTTTTTTTTGGAGATATGGCCCTAATGAAAAAATATATAAAACAAAAATAAAAAATTATTTAAATCTACCATCACTTCGTAGTTACCACATCATGAAAAAGAAACTAAAAACTTTGTACTAAAAAAAAAAAAAAAAAAGAAAAAAGAAAAGAAAAAAATGAGGGTATGTTTAATGTACAACTTCTATATACATCACAGCCCATAGGCAGTAAAAAAAATATTTAAAAAATGATTAAAGGAATTGTGAAGAACTGTCATGTGGAAGGTCAAACGACAGACAGCAGACATGACGGTAGTGGTGAGGAAGCAATTTCCATTGATCGTTGTCAGGGATGTGTTTTCAATCTTAACTTAAAAAAAAAACCTTGTTTTTGCTCCTAGCCTAATGTAACCATTTTCCTGTGAAGAAACCAGTATCATTTCATAATTGCCTGCTGACTGACACACTTCTGTGAGCCCCTGTACCTACATCTCTAGGAGTTTCTATTGCACAGAGCTTTTTGGGAGATGGGATACAGTTTTTATTTTTCATTACCTGAAGAATAGCACAGCTAGGAAATTGATAATTTTCCACCTTTTTGCCTCAGTGTGGTGAAATTTTCCCATCTTAGCATCTTTTGCCACAACTTTTTTCTTTAAAGTCAATTCGCTTCCCAAAAAATGCAGTACAACATGGAAAAGAACATTAAAAAGAAAGTATGTGAAAAACAAAAAGTGACCTCTGAATGCACTAGACAGCAACTTTGGTTAAAAAACAAAACAAAATAAAAAAAAACCCAAAAGGATGTACTTATACACACAGACAGCAAATATTAATTTCATAACTGTTTGAATTAATTATCTCTTTAATTCCCAATTGGTAAATAGTGAATGGGGCAGAGGAGCAAAGATTTTCTTTCCTTCTTCCTACGCTGGAGAAACAAGAACAGAAAACAGCCAGTTATACGGGAGCCTCTAGTCTTCACTCACACATGCTGCCTCTCACTGATGTCATAACTGCCCAATCTGAAACAGTACATCACAGATGACAGACGCAACCAGAGAGTTCAGGACGGCTGATATCGAGATATCCAGCAATCGACCCTCGTGCAGAAGGAACTCTGAGCGGTTCTCGTCCACTCTGGCCATGGCCAGCAGAGCCTTGGCCGCCCTGCACATCATGTCCACGCTAGGGGGCTCTAGAGGCGGGGGCTGCATGTGCATGAGGTTATGCTGGCTCTGCTGATACTGGGCCATCGTGACCCCATCCTCCAGGAAGCTTATCAAGTTTCCAATGCTTCCTTTCTGCACAGCTATCGCCCTTGCAGCCAACGCGTCCCCTTGGGCAAGGTTCGATAAAAGCGCCATGGACATTTCTCGACAGACTGGGTTTTTGCGATCCCCAACGTACCTAACTAACGTGGCATAGAATTTCTCCTGACGGCTAAATGGAGGCGTGGCCAAGATCAGGTCCACATTATTGTCCTGGATGCTGAGTTTACAGAGCGTCTCCAGCACAAGTCTCTGAGGCGACAGGACAGAGTTGGGTCCCACAGTTGGAAAGGGGTCTTGTGCCTCCGCAGACGGGCACACCATCCAGTGCAGCAAGCCATCCAAAATTGGCAAGCAGATGCTTTCCGTGTAAGCAGACAAGTCTAGCTGCCCAGAAATGTTGGCCAAGGTGACCAACGTGTTATCCCTTAAGACCTCAAGGCAGTCCCACCACCACTCATCTTTGCTGCAGGCCACCCCTTTGTCCTCGTCTTCCTCCTTCTCATATGTTTGCGGCGCCCGTTTCCTCTCGGGATGCTCGTGGTGAAGAAGAATCAGCTTCCCCAGGATCAGCACCAAGCCTGGATGTTTGGACATTTCGGCGTCATTCCCAGGCACAAAAGACAAGCTCCGGACGATATTCGACACACAGATGCAGCGCTTAGCCAGCGAGTCCTGCCAGTGTGCGATGGTGCAGAGCGGAGCCTCATCCCGGCTCCTCGGCTCATCCTCCAGCAGCTTGATGTTGCGGTGACTTTTGGCTTGATGGATTCCAAAGGGAAACTTACTGCTGTCGGTTTGGGCACCAGGGTTTGCATCTTCTGGTAGAGCCCCTGGCCGGGCAGACAGGACATCATCGATGGTTGCAATGATGCTTTTCTCTTGCTGCTCCTCAGAATCCCCTTTTCCTTCTTGCTCTTTCTTTCTACCTGTGGAGCTTAAAGGGGGAGGTGGACGCCTGCGAGGAGGAATTTCAATCTTGCTCTCAAAGTGAGTCTGGATGTGCTCGGTGGTGTCCCCACCGCCGAGCTGCCAGTGCAGAAGTCCGCTGCTGAACTCTTGAACACGACCCAGCTTGTCAGATCGGTCGACGACAAACAAGTTGTTCTTTTTGACTATCTTTATTGGCAGCTTGTCGAACTTACTCGCTTGCCTGGGCTTCTCCTTTGGATCTGCAGCGGCATCGGGGGAGGTCACAGCCGTGATGCTCCGGTCCTCAGTCTCGGTCTTCCCACCATCCTCCTCCTCGTCCTCCTCCTCGTCCTCCTCCTCCTCAATACATTCAGCATCTTCCTCCTCTTTCCCAGAATCGTCAGCCAAGGACTGGCTGTCCTCTCTCTTCACCGCACTGTGATCAAGTGCTTTTTGGCTGGGGTCTCCCACTTCATATTCCATAAGAATTCCAAAAATGTCAATCAGGCATTTCCTAAAGTACTCTACTAAAAGTTCGAGAAATCCGGACAACTAGAGAGGACGAGAAGGAGAAGAGGTACAATGTCATAACCTCAGGCGGGACTGAGAGGGTGAAAATCCTGATAGATGGCAATGCGTTTTTATGATTATTGTCACTTTTAATTCCTTTCTGGCTACGCCAAGTAAGAGAAACTGTGTATCAGTTAGAACTGTCTTCCTGAATTTTTCATTATTAACCAAACCAACATTTACCATCTTTCTTATTTGCTGTTTACCTTCTTATACTGTCTACATGAAAAGTTACTTGTTATTGTCACATTTCTGATACCATCAGGGCAGGGGTGCTTTGCTCTTCTTTACCTTGCTGATTTAGATACAATGTAGGCATCACCAGAAGAGTGGGAACCTGGATTTTATAGACTCATTCACCCAAAGTGAGTCTGTTCTCTTCTCTTATTTATCTGAAACTTTGCTTGCCTAGATTTTTATGGTTATTATTCTTAAGATTTTATGGTCATTTTTGTCTTAGGTGCCATAGGTTATTCTAATTTACATTCTCCATATATTTTGGGGAGAAGATAATTTCAGCAATGTAGCAGCTCATAAACACAGAAAATTAAAAACAAACCAATTTAGTCCCTGATAAATGAATGAGAATGTTTCATAGAATGCACTTTTATATTTCAGTTATTCACAACTCCAGCTGAAAGACAAAAGCCACTACAAGAACTAGTTTTATTTCCTTTAAGTAAATGTTTATATCAAGAAAACCAACATAATTCATGATTAGCAACTGGCTCGCTTCCCTCCCCCAACACCCACACCACTGCATTTAGGGATGATAAAGAATAAACAGTAAAAAAGGGTTTCTTAATGACAGATGTTATTATCCTGCTGTCAGTTACCTGAAATAAGGTTTGAAACAATTATTAAGAAGTAAGGGGGAGGGAGGAGGGTATAGCTTGGTGGCAGAGCACATGTTCAGCATGCACGAGGTCCTGGGTTCAATCCTATACCTCTTCTAAAAATAAATAAACAAATAAACCTAATTACCACCCCCCCAAAAAAGTAAGGGAAAACCTGGGTACCAACCAGACAGTACTTGCTCTTAGGGTATGAAGGCATAATTTTTCAAGTGGAAGTTTGGATGTTTCCCACCCCCTACACTTAAAAGTTTAGTTTTTCCCAGGGCAAGGGAAGAGGGATAGCCGCTAAAGCAAATCTGGTTATGAAACAGTGCGCTCAAGGGCAGTTCACCTCACGTAAGGATGAAAGTTTATTACTCTAGTAAAGGCAGTATACATTTTTAAATACTTATTTTCTGTTAAAAAGGACTTCATGCAATGTTTATGACCTTATTAATACACTTGCCACCAACTGAGAAATTGCCTTTCAGGACTATAATGAGGACTTAAATGAGAGGAGAAAGAGGAAATGGAAGATTCTGGTCCGACTTCAATAGAAGCAAGGGAATTAGACGTTTGGATTTTTTCAGCAAAAGCAGAGAGTTGTTCAAACACAGTAGGGAAAATAACCTTTTCTTATTTTTGTTTCTAAATATTTCTTAAAAAGTCTGTAGTCCAGCTGATTGCCTGGGCCTTTGCCCTAATCCTTAGGTCCCTTTCTGTCTTCTGGCTGTTATGCTGGGAGCTCCTTTAAGCCGAGCACAGAATAAAGGAGGGTTTTTAAGCTCATTAAAAGTAGTAGGCTTTTAAATGACTGCTTCCAAATAACCTGGAGAGAGGCAGAAATGGGAGGGAACAGACCAAGAAACAAGTCTGGCCATGACTTCATTACCACTGCAGCTGAATGATGGGTCCACGGAAGTTCCTTGGCCTGTCTTCTCTACTGTACCTATACACTGTACATCTTCTATAACATAAAATTCTTTTTAATTTTACATTTCTTTTTAATTAAAAGATGTTAGGTCCCCCTGGAAAACGGGGTAATGTCTCACTGCAACCTACTGCATAGCCAACACTGGTTACATTTGGATTAATTCCCATTGGCCTGCTAGTATGCATTCTGAACAACAATTTAATTTTATCAGTATTGTCTGTTCCATTCACGTGTACACACACACGTGCACACAAGGTCACCATTTTCTTATGAAAAATATAGGTATGTGTACATTTATACTGAATAAATAAATAATTCCAGATGAAATTCACAGACAACTCTACATTGATTGATGTTGGTTTATGACAACTACGATGATAAAAAATGTTTGCTGGCGAGTGCTGACTACATTAGGCATCAGCTTAAGCATTATGCACTACTTAATTCTGCTGTTCTCGTCTGTTCCTCGGTTGGATTGGTGCTGGCTTACCTGGGAGAGGTTGAAAGTAGCGACAGTGCTGTCATCATACAGGAGAATGTTAATAGTGTCCAAAGCCCAAGTACTTTCAGCCAAAAGACCTGATTTAAGGGACATCATCACACGCCAGGCCTCAGGAGTAACTAAAAATGGGAGAGAACAAGGCTGTGATTAATACTAACTCCACGTAAGAAAGAACAGCAAATAACAAAAGAACAAGAAAGAAAGAAGTAGAGTGTTAAGTTAAATACAGATTTTAAACAAGTGTTCTGAGGGACAGTTAAACACGGTCTTTTCAGATTTCAGTCGGAGGTGACAGCTGCACTAAGAAACTTCTGCTGCTGAAGAGCCTTTGGCTTTGCAGGCTACACAGAGGTGGGAGTGGTTAAGCGCAAACAGTCCTTTCTGTGTTTGTCTTCTTCTGCTCCATTCACAAATGTCTCAAGGAGGCGTTCGGAAGGCTGGTCAATACGCAGAACATAAGCAAAGTTTAATTCCCGAGCAGCAGGTTCTCAGATACGAAGTCTTCGTTCTCCCGTGCCGTCCTCTTCCATCAGAGCGCTGCCCTCAGACAAGTACCAGCACTTTGATGTTTCAGATTTTTCAGGAGCTTGTTCTGAACCAGAGGATGGGAAGTAAAAGTGCTGGAGTTTGTTTTCCCCATTCCTGTTACTGACGAAGCCAGACCAGTGAGATGGAAGGTTTGGATGATCTGTCATGAGACGGGGCTATGAGAGAAGGTGCATCTGTGTCTGAAATTTCGAGGGAAGCCGTCTCAGGAAACCGGCGGAAGCACAGGTACGAGCGAGCATGTGCTATCCGCCCGCGCTCACCACAGCCAACACCAGATGCCAACAGTGATCTCATTTGCCCGAGGGGCCGCGGGTTTCAACCTTTATTTTAATTTCATTTAGCTTTCAAATTTTCTAAGATGGGCACACAATACTTTTGTAATAGAAAAGGCAAACTTTCATTTTAAAATAGGGAACATAAGTTTCCCTAGGCTGGTATACTTGCACTAAGAACTTTTTAAAACTTTAAATATACTTATTTATTTATACACCTCTATACACACATAAACACACAAATACATGTGTATATTTTCACACACACATTTCCATATATAACATGATGCTCGGTGTCTCTGTCTCTTCCTTACTTTTCTCCCTCCGTCTGTCTCCATAACGCCCAGTGATTGAAAACACCCTTAATATCTTTAATTTTCTAATCACTGCAAATGATTTCAAGTCAAGTGATTTTGAGATTTTTGGAAATTTTTTTTTTATGCAACTGAGTTCTATTTCCTTTGCTATGTTAAAAAAAAAGTACTTCAAAAGTCATGCAGAAAAATTCTGTGTACATCCAGATATTCTGGATCTCTAATTAGCATTCAGAACATTCCAAATGGGATGAACAAGCGACATCAGCATTCAACTGAGAGAGCCCCTCGGCCCGATACTGCAGCGCTGCACGGATCACATCGGTTCTAGCCTTCACAGCATATGAAATTCCATAGCGCATATCATGTATCCATCTACGTATCACAGTCAAGCTTCCATTACTTCCTGGGGAAACTCACTGTCTGTATGTTGTTCCCAAAATTACAGAGTGGCTTGCCGTCAAAGTTTCTCAGGCCACCCTAGCATCTCATCAGCCTCTGTTCTGTTAGACGTATGTGGCAGAGATTAAGTGTTTGGTTAAGGTCAAATCTTAAAGCCCAGAACACAGTAGGAGGTCTGGAGGAATCCCTGGTCTCTCACCTGGAGCTCTACTCTCTTGCACAAGTCACACTCATACATAAAAATACCATTTCAACTCACACTCTTCTCTGGCACCGTTGCTTAATTCAGATGAGCGGCTTCCACCTACTGTTCCTGCACCAAAACACATCCTAGTTGAGTGTCTCAGAATTTCAGCCCTTTGAGATTAAGGAACTATGTCTAGCCTAAAATTAAATTCTAGATCTCAATAGGAATTCACTGTAGGAATAGAGCCTGGGGAACGCTTACCGATATCTTTTGAGGTAATCTTTCGCCTTTGTTTCAAGACTGGCTGTGATGCTTCCACAGAGCCAGGAGGAAAGGTAATCTCCCTTCTGATTGGGGGTGGCTGGGGGGGCGGCCCCGCGACCTGGGACGTGGGGACGGTGGGCATGACCTTCTGCATCTTCATGGAGGGCAGGAAGGGGGACTTGCTTGGAGACATGCGACTCTCCAGGGAGCGCTGGAAGGAGGCGGGGCTGGGCGCTCTGGAGATGTGGTTTGGCAGTGACGGTGGCGTCTGGTAGGATGACTGAGGCGGGCGTGTGATGGGCTGCAGGGAGGCTGAGGAGGACATATAAGGCTGATGCTGGCTGACGTGAGAAGGCCACTGGCTCTCGTGATTCATCCTTTGATCAGGTACCATCATATCATCCGTGCGGTTCATGCCTGGATAAGGAGGTGCCTGTGCGGGACCACCGGGGCCCTGCCTGTTCTGGTACGGATAAGGCATATCGTTGCGTGTCGCCCACATGCTCTGCTGAGGCCCTTCGCTGGAGGACGACTGCATCGGGCCGCCCATCATTTGGGGCGGGAGCCCGTGCGGCTGCATCTGCCCGGGGCCCTGCATCCTCTCTCTGTTGTAGGGGTAGGGATACTGCCCCTGGATGGGCCGCCTGTCCGGCCCGGAGTAGGAGCTCCCGTACTGGTTGTACAGCTCCTGCTGCTGGCTGCCATACTGCACGCTGTACACGTCCCCTTCGTGGCGCTTGGCTGGAGGCCCGTACATGCCGTCCATATGGCGCTTGTAATTCTGAAAAGTCATATAAAGACAAATCATACTGATGTGCCTTTACAGGTATAATCACACACTCAGATTATGCAAAACAGTTATTACCTGGTGGAATGTTCACTTCAAAATGAATATGGGACGCTCCCAAGACAACTGAGGACTAACAATTTATGTACTGCATTCAGTGCTATATAAACCATGTCACGTGCTCCGAAGGGAGCCTCCACAGTTTGTTTTCACATGCTTGACATTTTCTGTGGGGAAAAACAGCCTTCTCTCCTGGTATTTTCCAGGGCTGCAGTTTGGGAGAGCATGGCTTTGGTGACTATGACACAGGCAGTGGCTTAGGGACACAGTGGATGCCTTCAGTAGGCAGAGAGGGAGAGAGACCCTGCTGGCATGGACCGAGCATCCTGAGGCCAGCCTGAAGGGCTCCTGGGTAAACAGACCCCTTGGGGCTAACTTTACAGAAGAGCCTCCACACTGGGCCTGGCTTCTCAGGCTGGACCTGTGCTGCCCTGACACCTGACTTCTCCGGCCCCGCCCCAACCTGCAGCTCCTCCAGGTCACCTTCTCCATGAAATCCTGCCCCAGAGGACAGGGCTGGGCGCCGCCCGTTACTGAGCACCCCTCTGGGGATGCTGGGGGCTCGCGCACGTGACCTCCTGACGAGACTGAGTGAGGGGGACGCTGATGTTGATTAGTGTTCTGTCGCTTTACTGAAAATTGTTTAAGATCAGTTGGTTTGATAATACAAGTCACTGTACAAACATGCTCCAGTAAAATTTAAAAAATGTTTAAAGTCCTTTCTATTTCACAAGAGGTGTTAGGCATGAAAAGGTGGTTAGAAACAGCAAATTCCTGGGTCTGAAAAGCACAGCATGTCGTGCAATCTTCTGCATTAGTGTGAAAACTGCAAGGTTGCCGCACACATTTGAAGACCTCGAGCTGAGTGCCGTGTATGAGCAGCAGAAACCTACACAGCTGTCCTGTGTGGTCAACATACGCCACCGTTAATATCTTATTCTTAAAAACAAGTCAACTTTCACTATTAATATGTAATACTTGACGTTGTTTCTTCTAAATATCCTCTCTAAAACATACTGGCAAATTTCTGTGCTAAAATGTCATTTGATACAATAGTATACAGAAGAGACATAGGCTTAAAATATACTTGAACTTGGGCTTATTATTTACAACGATGAACGTCTTAAACTTTCTATAACATGCTATATTTTCAAGAGCTATTTCTAATTTGCTGATTTCAAAACCCCAACAGCTATTTTTTAGTATAAACAAATAAAACCTGATTGTTCAATAAATGGCGTCTTCTTTGTTACACCTCCTAGAACTCTTCAAAAGTAACATGAGTTTGAATTTTAAGCGGAAAGTAGAGATGCACCCCACTCGCCAACTCACCGTCTGCTGCGGATACAGGCCTGGCTGGTGCCCTCCATATGGCGGCTGTCCCGAGGGGGGGCCTTGGCCTGGGTACTGCTGCCCATAAGGTTCATGCCTAGAGTGAGGCATTCAAAGAAAACTTCATTTACCATGGACCTCGGGCCAAGGGAGAAAATTAGAGTCCATTTCTGGGAACTCCACGGCTGTCTCTCTTTCACTGCACCCTCCCCACAGAGGCACTCTGCGCAGCAGCAGCAGCAGCAGGGGTGGCGGCACCCACTCTGGGAGCACTGCCAACCCCTGGCTGGTGGGTGGGAGGAGTCCCGCTGGACCAGCCAGCACCCTCTGCCTTTGAGGAGAGGCCCTGCCCGTCCTGAGGGACCAGGGAGGCATGACACATGCTGATGTGAGGTATTAATGAGGGCAAGAAACAACAGAAGAAACGAAGGAGCCAAGCAGTACTTCTAGGAGTACGAGAACACTGACACACAGTCACAGAAAATGTTTCTACTTTCTCGTCATGAATACAAACAGTTCAAGTTTTTAAAGGGATACTTAAAAAATAATCCAGATGATGCTAAGTTAGTACAGACCAAACTACTCAAAATTTCAATGTCCTATGAGCCTAAAAGGCTACAGAAAAGAATAACAGGGATGATTTAAATGTACTTCTATTAAGTCTTAAAGTGCGAATGAACAATACGTTTGTTTTATATTGAGAAATTATAAATATCATAAAAAATAGCATATTTAAAAGAGCCAGATTTGAAATAAAAAAAAAAATAAACTGGCTTAGTTAGTATATTGAATCTTGTAAAAAAGAGAATACTTAGACTGAATATATTCCTAAATGGTCAGAAATGAGAGTAAGAAAGAAAATAAATGAATTTTTAGAGTACCACATATAAAACAGATATAGGGGAAGCTTTTGCTAATGACGTCGATATCTAAAAGAAGCTTTATAGTTAGGAGGAAAGAAATACAATTGACATGGATGAAATTTAAGCTGAACAAGTAACACTTTTCAGAAGAGAAAACTTAATGAGGTAAACCCTAAAGTGGTAGAGCCAAGGTGACTTTCAAACCCAGGCTGTGCAATGTTGTAGACAGCATTCTAGAAGAAACAGGTAAGTGCACTTGCTTGGGTTCCTTTAAGAAAATACGTCTCAGGAAGAATGTTTGCCTTTTAATCTCATCAGCCCACCCCTCACTCCTACTTCACCAAAAGCTTTTCCTGGACCCTCAGAAACAATCCAAA